GGAAAAATTTCAGTTAAATGATTTTTCACTAGGGCTGGTTGATTAAACTTGATTCATCAGTATAATTAATTATCTATGAGCACCAGTTACATCGATTAGTGTCTGTAAAATAATCGTTAATCAAAATTACAATTAAACTGATTAATATCATGAAAATAATCAACTATTATTTTTTATTATTATTGTTTCCAGTTATTCCAACTATTCGGTAATCAAAATTATGATTAAATAAATTGATTATCACAAAAGTAATCAACTATTCTAACTATTCAATAATTGAAATATTGCCATTAGATTTTCGTAACTGTTTTCAATGAATTCAATATGATTAAGCATAATCAGTTAGTGTCCCAATCTGATAGAAAGTTCCAATAATCACCAACTCTAGTTTCCACACAAGGTTACAAAAATATTTTATTTGCTAGAGAATCTTAATGTCTTATGGGAAGTTTCTGTAAAGAGATTAACTCCATCAGAGGGGCATACTAAACTATTTGATGAAGTTTAGGATAAGCACTGAGGTGTGATTGTAAATAGGTCATATTTATAAGTGTCAGAAACATAATGTGGCAGGAAACCTTGAAGGATGAGATTTAGTAGTTTCTCACTAAGTAGTATATAGGTTGTAGGTTTATATATGTGTGTAGACATATATATATACTATTGTTATTATTTGTTCATTATTTTATGAGTATATTTATAAAAAGATTCAAGTTAAGCAATAAAATGGCATATATTTGGATGGAACAGTTCACTGGTGACCTTGTTAGAACAAAGAGCTTTTTGTTCAGATCATCTTCTATTTTTAGCAATGCTTGGTTTGTTGAACAAACTCCTTTTGTTGTGGAATGTTAAAAATGAACAGGGCTCATAATGCTGTTGTTTGTTAAGTTATATTTTCTCCCCTCTTTTTTTTTTTTATTATCAGTTTTTTTTACTAGTCTTTTTGTTCAACCTTTTTTGCATAGTATTGTTACAGTTTTCACAATATATATATATATATATATATATCACATGAATATGCTAAATATAATTAAATGATTGAACATTCATAACTATTAATATTAAATGTAAGATAATGCATTTGGGTAATCATAAGCACATGCTTAAACTAAGGTAGAAACCTATTCAATAGTGAGACTGAAGAAAAGAATCTTGGCATAGTGGTTGATAAGTTGCTCAAGCTATTGAATCAGTGCTCTGTTGCTAACTTATTATGCTTTTGAGTCTTATTTATAAGATGTATAGAATAAAAATCAAAACATCCTACTTACTGAGGCACATTATCAAAAGTTTTTTGAAGTTAAAGTATTAGTATGTCAAATATACTATTATTAAGTTTGAAAAACATCCATTACAAAAGTTAAATGTTAATAAGTTAATTTTAAGTAAGTCTAGCAGGATTTTTATGTAAGAATGAAATAGTGGATATTAATGAACTATTAACTTTTGTTAACTTTTTGTGCAATAGGCTTAACTCAGTTTTATGCTATCAGGGGTACATGTCATTTAAATTTCGAATGTAGCTCTAAGCATAATGCTTTAAGCCTAAGAAG